ACTTTGCAGTAAATATTTCTTATTTCAAATAAACTATTTCTCTGTGGAGTATGTTGCCAGCAGGGAGAGAAATACGATTGAGAAAAAAAAAGGTTTGGAGAAAGAAAGCCTTCACAACTACTTTTCATTGAACTCTGATAAATTCCTCTTTGCTTCTACCTTGATTTATATAATTCCTTAAGCATTTCAAGTGTTTCGAAAATAGAAAGAAAGTGAATGATCTGGGAAGAAAATGGAAGAATATAAATACAAAGTGATTATTTTATTTTTGGAATAATAGATTTATTTTAAGGCATACATGATTTTTTCGCAGGAACATATACAGACAAATATAACAAACTTTAAATAAACAAAAATCAACTTTATCCTTTCCTCCTTTTTGTTGTAACAAGTTGATAAGATAAATGAAGAGCTCCAAAAATTCCACCCACGGAAAATGTAAACAAGGGCAGACAGCCACTATTAAAAAACCGCGGCTTGATGATGTGATAACCTTTTTAACATCACATATTAATGATTGTAGCTTTTAACATCATACTGTAACATTCTATCTATAAAAATGTCTCATACAAGTCCATTCACGTCTGAAGAGCCTTAAGTAATGTACAAGAAAAGATCAAGTTAGTCCATAATAGCATAGCTCGTTTGGATTAACTCAAAATAGCCAATTAGATTAAATTGATCCAAGCAACAAGGAAAGCTGAGTGGCCAAATATAGAGGTATAAACCCATAGATCTTAGCTTTCATCTGAGTCATTTAGTCCCTCAAAACAAGATTAAAGATCAACTTACTCTCCTCATGTGGCCAAAATTCAAACATGGCCTTAAATTACATTTTCCGCAATGTAGCAATCTTTAACTAAACAAGATTGGAACCCAAATTTGATTCCATTCTTTTATGATTCTTCCTTGACAGGATTTCTTGCTTTAGCGGGCATGAAGCTCTGCTCTCTGGCTTGTTTGCCGCCTCGGCAAATAGTGTTGATTTTGGTTGCCCATGCTAATCAATCTGCCAGTTCCAGTAAGATTCATGCCTTCTGTTTGTAATGGCCTCTCTTTGTACAACACTTCCCAAATTTTTTTTGCTCAAAAAAGTTTATCTGAATGTTGCTAGCACAATCTTTTAGGGGGAATTGAATTCCTTGCATAGATCTACAAACCTCCGAGCTTGCCAACAATATTTAAATCCGTAGGTGGTTGTGCAATAGACTTCTTGAAGACAAATTTCAATCCAGCATTGGAAGAACGCACTTTAATAGTTTAATTGTCTTCTATAATAATCCATTTACAAGACAGATTTAATGGAACCGACACACCTATAAATTGTCAAACTTTATGGTAACCAAGAGAACTATTAAACAAACCAATGAACATGACTTTAGATCTGGGTTAACAGATAACCCTAGGGACTCATCAGCATCACTGATTTGTTTTTGTTTTTTGTTTTTTTACTTTTATTTAAAATTTAGACAAAATATGTTTGGGGAGAGTGCATTGTTTAATTAAAAATAAAGTAGTTTTCAAAAAAGCAAAAGACAATTTTGATATATTTTCATTACTTTCAAATATAAACCCCAAATCAATCGGACCTAGCACACCACGCTGATTTACCCAGCAAAATTTAAATAAAATGAGAGAAAACTAAAAAAGTTGGAGTAATCAATCTTACTTTACACTATCTTTCTTGCTATTATTCATTCTGCTTCAAGGGTTATGTTTTTCATGAAAAGAGAAAGAAACTATATATAAAAAGACATTAAGTTCTCAAAATAAAAATTCATCTTATAGCCAATTTTCCTCATACTTGAAGAGTTCTTCCTTGTTTTCATCTTCATTTCATTTATTCCATGAAAAATTTATTCCCTGGACTCTTTCGGTATATGGCTAGAAGACAGAAAAAATAGATAAAATGAGTATTTAACAAAAAAAAAAAAATAGTCAAAGGAGAGAGAGTACAAAAAATTGATGCTGAGATGTTCTTCGAAGTTTGAAAGGACGAGATGTTAAATTATTCTACTGCTATAAATAAATAACATACGAGGATTAAAATCAAATTTTGATTCGGATATGCCAACAACAACAGCAAGCCTTTATCCCAATAAGTGGGGCAGGCTACATGAATCATTTTTCTCCATTGTGTCCTAGTGACTATCATATTTTCATTTAATTAAAAAAATTTAAGATCATTTTTTTATATAAGATGCCCAAGTCTTTTAGGACTACCTCTACCTTTCTTAACATAACTCGAATTTATAAAATCTACTTTTCTAACAAGGTCATCAAATGGTCGACGTTTAATGTGACCAAATCATCTAAGGCAACTCTCTCTAATCTTGTTTTCCACTGGAGCTACTCCAGCATTTCACGGATATATTTGTTTCATATTTTGTCTCCAAGTGTAAAGTCACTCATCCACCTGAGCATTCTCATCTCAGCAACACTTAACTTAATTTTATGTTTCTCTTTTCCAAGCCAACATTTTTGTGTCATAAAACATTGTAGGTCTTACCACCATCTTATGAAAATTTTCTTCAAGTATAAGCAGTACTTTTCTATCACACAATAAGATGATGCAATCCTCCACTTCAAGCATCCAACTTGAAGTCCACTAAGAACATCCGTATCTATAACATCATCACTGTGAAAAAACAATAGACCCGAGATACCTAAAAAATTCATTGTTTGTAATGATTTAGTCATCTCTTATAACAACCACACAACTAGATCTACTAGTACTAAAATTATCTTCCATGTATTCAATTTTAGATCTACTCATGAGAAAGCTTTTAGACTCTACAGTTGATCTCCATACTTCAAGTTTTCTTGAACTCTCTCTCCAGTCTAACCCACAAGAAGGATATCATCAGCGAAAAGTATACACCAATGTACATCTTGTAAATGTCGAGTTAGAACAACAATAATTAAAGCAAACGGACATGGGCTTAAACCCAATCCCTGATGTAATCCAACTGAAATAGAAAAACACTTGGCCAATCCTCCTTGAATCAATGATATGCCAATAAATTCAAATTAAGATGTGCTGAATTATTTATAGTAGGAATTTGCATTATTTCTTATTGTTATATCTAATCATTATTGAAAGTATTTCATTTTAGTATTATCTTCTCTTGCTTATATATAGGCACATAGATTCTCATTTTAATAAAATATTTCAATAAAGAAGTAGTTTCTTTCAATTCCCTCTAACTTTGAGCCAGAGTAAAATGATTCTCGTAAGGTTATGTAGATGATTTTACACTAACCACGAGTCTCACTTTCCACAAACTTAACTGTCCAAAGCCATTTTCTAATTATGAATTAACAACGCACACCTATTTGCAATCTCCTCTACAGTGCCCTACTTAGTTCTTCTTATCCTACAACTCAACTTATTGCATTACACTACTTATTATCATAATAACAAGTTTCACTCATGATGTCATCTAGCACTCAGCCTAATAAAAGCAATGATAGCATCTAATCATGCACTATATTGTCAATATGGTGATTTTTGATTGATCACATTCTTAATGCAATCCACCAGACCTATGTACTTCCAACCCTAATCAAGTCCTAGAATAATTGACACAACTACACCACTCATCATATATCCAATCATCTACAAGTTGCGATCTAGCTTAATGCTAGCGTCAGGAGACCTTCAATCGTTCCATAACCTGAGACTCTCAAGCTCCCTGCCACTACCCACTCTATTCATTGACAACTTAAAAAAATGGTGCACATCTTTCTCGTATTACAAAAACATAACCTCTTTTATTTCTCGCAAATTCATACATCTAAGGACCACAATTCAACAAAGGTGATTGCGTATGTATCTTTTTTTTTTCTCATTATGTTGACATGTTTTTCAATGCTGGCTATTAATATTTTGTTCATCAAACTTTTCATTGATATCACTATTGACAGACCTCTATTTATAGATCTTAATGATTCCTTCTTTGATATTGATTTCATTGTTAATGCATTGTGCCTAATTCACACTTCTCTCTTTCCAAGATCAACTTTACTCCCTTTTATAACACCGGCAACAATAGGAAATAAAATCTTCGACTATTACAAATCTAACCACTAATGTTTATAAAATTGAGTTTATATCTTCTATGCCACCTAAATTTTGTAGGGGGTATTACCATATTTAAAGTATCATAGGTGTTATTTATATAATAAATATATCCTATTTATTATTGCCATATTTTCTTATTATTGAGGATAATCTTATTTATTATATTTTTTTAGTATTCTCTCTCTGTATCTCTCTCCCTGTATATATATATAGGAAAATATATCCTTTGTAATAGCAAGCTAATTCAATGAAAATGTTGTAATTTCCAATTCTCACTCTCTTCAAACAAAATTAAACAAATGCACATAAGATAAAAGTGAGCTTTATCATTTATTAGTTAAAGGGGAGAGAGCATAAGGGAGTCATACTTTTCTTCCTGTGAAGAAAAGTGAACAGCCCGTAAGATGGCTTCGGCCTAATAATACAGCAAATTCAGCATTGTGGCATTCTTCATGGATGTATCTTCTATTTAATCTCCTATTTTGCCTTGTCGTATTCTACTCAAACATATTGTCATTAGTTTCAACATACACCTAAGTAACTTAATGGTCGAGTTAGTCCACACTACCGTAGATCGCTAATTAGGTTAGTCAAATAGCCAAATAAAAGTTGAATTGGCCCAAGCAACCCAACAAAGTAAACTCCAAATTTTATTAGAAATGTAGCAAACAAGAAGCTATGGCCAACGACCATTATAATCAAAGATTCCCTTTATTTTTCTTATATTTCTTATATTAATGCTGAATAAATTGAAAGTGAAATTAGCAAAGCTTTTCATAAGCAACCTAATAGGCTCCTTCAAAGACAACTCATTGAGAATTTCTTTAACTACAAATCGTTTAAATCTATAACCCGCGAGAAAGTATGACAAAAAAATAAACAAAAACAAAACTGACACAGCAGAGGGGGTTCTCACATAAGTATTGAGTTGCCTGATAAAGCTGGAGATATTGCTATGTTTGAAATACTTGGGCAAGAGATCCCGCGAGAATGTATGCTGGTCTTTTATTATGAACGTGTTTTCGCTATCGCCCCAGCAAACCGTATCATCCGTTGCGGGATCGTTCACCATATCGTAGCATTTCGTCAGGAAAGGAGGAAACATCGACGGAAGCGGCGCTCCGCCGCCGTCGTTACTGCCGTTATTCTTCTCCGGGTTCATTTGCAGGACCCAAAATGGAGGGAGAGGATATCAGATAGGGTGAAGCATCGGAAGGGTACGGAAAAAATTCCAAACCTCTCGGCTTACTAAACATGTTTCTTCTTCTTCAAGAAAATATATTATAACATACCCGGTTTAGGCCTACAGAATCTTACGGGTACTTCGTGCATCTGTAGGCCGATTATGCCCAACAATTTTCTTAAGCCAGATGATCAAAGTTTAGCGCCTAGAGCGAGCCCATTCAAGTTTCTTGGGCTAGTTGGGTAAATACAGAGCAGCGTCTGTGACGGCTTCTAAAATAATGTAGTCTATTGAGACAAATATTTATTACTTAATAAAAAAAGTGTGTAACACGCTTTCAATATATTTAATTTAAATTATTTTTTGGTTCTCTTAACTTATAATGCCATAAAAATGTGGTGTTTGTTCATTTAATACCTTGCTTGTTGCCCTATGCTATAAATTAAATTGTTAAATAAATGGGTTTAAATGTAGTAATTTTATGGGTTTGAGTTTTACTCCAAGGGAAAATATATATATAATTAAAGATAAAGAAATAAATACAACCGAAAAAATGAGGCATATAACAGATTTTTTTTGCTCTTCTTCTTACTTAAATCCCTCGCTCTATAATCAGAGCCAAGCACCACCATCTTAGCCCATTTCCAGTTTATCAAGGCAAGCTGAAAATATTCTGTGAAAAATATTCGGATCTTGAGCCTTGGAGCCTACTCTAATATCCTTTTAATTTTATGATTGAACTGTTCAACTAAACCACTGGTGTGATGATGATATTTGTAGCAATTCTATGTTTAATTCCATATTTCTCGGTTAATGTTTCAATCCTTTTATTTTTAAAATGATTTTCCTCATCTGTAATCTGTAATGATCACTCTCGGCATTTCAAATCTGGTAAAAATATTTTTTAAAAAAAATTTTGCAACACTCTGAGCATCACAACGGGTAAAACAATTGTTTTAATCCATTTAAAAACATAATCTATAGCTATGAAAATTTACATATTTTCGAAAGATGGAATAAATGGTCACATAAAAACCAAATGCCATACAACAAAAGGTTCAACTTCTTAAGTAAAATTTTGGGGCATTTCACTCCTTTCAGAAATATTACATATTTTCTAACATCTATCACATATTTTTACATAAATATTAACATTCCTAAATAAAATAGACCAATAAAATTGAGATTGTAGAGTTTTTTAATGCAGTTCTATCCACTCTAAAATGTCCCCCAAAATCAGATTCATTACATTTTTGAATAATTTCTAGAGTTTCTTCAAATGATACACATCTTTGAATCATGTAATCCTTACATTTCTTATATAAATAAAGGTTGTCTCAAAAGTAAATTTTGCATTGTGAATGAACTTCTTCTTTTGGTGGTATGTTAATTTGTAGGGCAAAATATCTCTAATGACCCGACCAGCAATTATGCAGATATTTATGTTCTCAAATATGACCAAAACATGAAATAATTTATATTTAACGGCTAGTGAGAACAAATGTAATATTATAAAATTCAGATTAATAGTTTTTTCACTAGGGTTACTACACAAGTATACGTATTGTTTTAAGTTATATAGAATTTTCTTTAAAAATCCTAGTATCGATCTCACAAAGAAATTAAAGGAAAAAAGTAAATTCATGAATCTTAATTATGAAAAACATTTACTTAATACTGTAGAATATAATTAAAGTAATTCAAGTGATGAAATAAAGTTTACTAATTCCTATAAATGCAAGTTAAAAGTAAATGCAGGGTTTTAAAAAATTCAAGATATATATATAAAGAAGATTTTCTCCTTGCAAATAATTCATAATCAGTGTAGGATTTCAAAAGCTTAGAATTTTAACTGTTATTTTGTGACAAATAGGAGTATACCTATTCTTTACATCTTCGGAGCATAAAGAACATTGGCTAATCTAAAGTTGGTGTCAGCATGTATAGTAGTGTTGGGTAGGTTCTAGTCTCTCACTCCTAGATTACCTACTGTGCCCTCTCTGTAAGACCTACCAGTGATCCTTAGTTCCAATCTCTAGACCAAGTTGATAAAAGAATCTAGTCTGTCATCCTAGAAACAATCAATTATACACCCATCAAATCTTATCTCCCTATCAATTTGCACAATTTGCACTCCCCCTTAAGAAATCTTAGCCCTTTTGGGTCTATAAGTTCCTCAATAGGTTTTAACAATACAAGTGGCTAATTTGTAAAGTAAATGAAGTAGGACTTTAAGTTTCTCAACAAGTTTTAACAATACAAGTGGCTAATTTGTAAAGTAAATGAAGTACCGATGAAAATCATCATAAATTTTTTGAATAAAAGAAGTTCTAAACAAATCAAAACCACCACTTAATTACTTCATATTGCAAGGGGATAACCAAACAAAATATATTTATAAAACTCAAATCCAAAGTACAATACTTAAAGAAAAAGATACAAATACTTATTTAAAATGTTTCCCCAAGCACACCTTTGAAGTTCCTTGACTTCTTTGACTACAATAGACTCTCACAAGACTCACAAAACTATAGAAATTACAATGACTCACAAAACCTCACTCAGGTGATCGCGGATACACCTATAATATATAGTATTTTTAGACGCATTTTTATACCTGTTTTTGAGATATTGCGCTTTAATGGAAGGTATTTGTGTGTTTTTAGACGCATTTCTTTCAGGTACAGGTAAAAAGGTGAAAAATGCTTATAAGAGTGAAAAAGAATCAAATTTAGAGCAAATAGGTGAAAATTAGGCAAAAGTGTTTTGGCGCCTAAGCGCCAGATCTGGCGCTTAAGCGTCGGGTAAACAGAGAAGGTAGCGCCTAAGCGCCAGAGGCCCCACGCTTAAGCGCCAGTGGCAATTATTAGATGAGTAAATTCAGTTTTTGCAAATTTTGAAGAGGTTTTTGAGGCACCCATTAGCTTAATAGGTGGTTACAACCACCATGGA